TTAAATAAATGTGGTCTATTCTCACCAGCTATTTACTACAATCAAGATATTCTAACCCTTTGAGCAGCAGTGGCTTCCAACGATTTTAGCCAAGTTTAGCAGACTCCTCATGATGCCTATTTCCATCAGGCCTGGCCTGGTGGCTATGTGGAAGATATTTAAAAATAATTTTTTATTTGGAAGTTATTTCAAACTAGTGCAAAAATAAAGACAGTACTGTGTACAAATAACACTGGTATACTTGTACTCAGATTCACTTCCTGCTAACATTCTCCCTCCTCACTGAGGTGTACTTTACAAGGCTTATGGGACACTTAGGTAAACACTCTTTTTTCATTGGTAACATTTTGCATTCTTCTTCCAGGTAAGTCTGCCAGTCCAAATTCCTAACTCAGATGTCAGGACGAAAGCTGCACAGCATATTTAGGGAAGAGAGAAGATGATAACCTATTTTGACCTTTCTCAATTTGGAGATAATTATTATTTAATGTTCATCATTTTCTTATAAACTCTTAAAATCTATAGCACCTGCTTAAAAACAATGACCACTTTTGAGAACCTTTATATGTCAAGTGCTGGTGATACAAAGATGATTGGACATGATCTCAACTAGAAAGACACAAGTTCAGTAAAATGTGTTAACCTCCATTACAAAATTATACTAGTATGAGAATACTACAGAGATTTCACAGACACAGAAAAGAAGTAGTTGGGTGATAATTAGTGTGACCATAGAATTTATCATCCAAATATGATCACTTGAGAGTAGAAGTATGTTCAGGAGAAGGGACAGTAAATACAAATCAGACTGTCCTGTCCTGTGTGATCACCCTTGTGGATAAGAGACAGGGTCTGATAGCATATCTGTCCTAACCTTGATATTATAGCTACAAATGTTCTGATATTAAGGCAGCCAAAAGCCTGGAGCAGAATTTGTGCCTTGGGAATCTTTTAACTCAAGTATTGACTGCCATTAAACTCACAAACAGCAACTACAACAGAAAATTTAAAAAATGAGCTTATCTTTCTTTATATCTAACTTCATCATTTGGACAAATTCAAAATACCACGTTTACTAGCTACACACAAAATGGCTAGGAGAAAAATAGTCTTGTATACTCAAATCTATAATATACCAAATTTAACAGAAATAATGACATGTGTTGAAAATTTAGATGAAAGAAAGTTATGTTTTAGGGCTCAGAAGTTCTTCTGTTCACCTTCCCTCCACAAACAACGTACCAGGACGTTTGGATAAAAGACAGAATATGTTTGGATCTTTTGACTCAGGGTAGGAGAGTGGTGCTATTTGCTATTATTAGCAGTCCCAATCACAGAAGAAAATTCTCTGTTTAAAGGAAGAATTTTTTATTTCCAAACCATTCGAGAAGGTTTTAGGCATTGGGGAATAAAGAAGAAGGAACAGAGTTCATTGTTCTTCTTTTTCCTTAAAATTGGATTGCATCTCTTTTATTAATTAAAAAAATTCTCTCAACAGGATTATGAATTTCTATATGAAGTTGGTGTTTCTAATGTATTTGGTCCTGGGACGAGAATTCCAAAGGCTGCTGTTGAAGTGCTTGATGACATTGAGAAGTGTTTGGAAAAGAAACAGCAATCTGTATAAAGTCCTGTTTCTACTTTTTCTTTTTTCTAATATAATTCTTTCAGTTATGAGCAAGCAACTTAATTTCAACAGCTGATATGTACTTCCCATGAAAGCTTTATGTTAAAATGCCTTATAAGCATGCTGTCACGTTACGTGTGTAAGTAGATGTGTAGTTTCACTTGAACAATTAAAAGTTCCTAAAAATCTTCTGTAACAATACTTTACCAGAAGCTCTAGACAAATGTATTATTTTTAAAAATCATGATGTTATATTTATTAGAAACATTTCTTATAAATCTGATTACTTTTTATTTTAAGGATTACATTTTACCTAAAAAGATATGACTAGTCCTGTTCTTAAGTTCAACATTACATTGACTTGAACACCAGAAAATAAAATCTCTATATTAATAAAATAAAACACTTGTCTTGAAAAAATAGTAGTGGATATTTACGTGAAGAAATAGATTATGGTTGTGGTCCTCAGCCATTTCCACCAGAATCACCTAATCACCTGACTTAGAGTATTAAGTCAAACACAGCAGCTGAGGACAGGAAGGAACTGGCAGCCTGTTTCTTCATGTCTGATTATACTTTTTCCTGAGCATGACCATGTTTGTTATTGCCAGGCTTGGCTCAAGACCCAGGAGAGTGGATGTTGATGAACATTTCCTTAAAGTGCTTCAGTGGTTATTACGCTTTGTCCAAAATGATGTTGTTAGTGACGGAGTATACGCAGATGATATAAGAAGAACTGAACTTTCCAGATCCAGAAAGATGCTACCTTGCGTAGCCTTCCTCATTAAAGTAAAAATTGCACCAAGAGCACCTGTACTTTGCTGAACAACTTGCTGATTAAAGAAGGGAAATTGTCCTTTCTTTTTAACATGATCCATTAAATAAATACAAAATATGTAACAGTGATTGTGTCGTAATGAGTATCTATTTTATTTTATTAGATCAGAGAACAATCTCTTGGAAGTTATAAGATTTATATATTGCTGTAAAATTTGAAAGCTACATTGTAATACAACTTCTTAAACTTTAGAACATGATTATGTATTAGAATACTATTAAGTAATGGTTAGGGTTTCCATTTTACAGATGAGCAATTGTACTTCAGGTCCAGTGATATACTCACTATGCCATTTTCTAATAAAGAATGTATATTAATTTAATAAATATTTGGTTTTTATGATGTATTCAGTTATGTGCTGGGTGACCTGTGAAATAAACATGAGAAATTTACAATGCTTGAGATTTGCTGTTTTTTGAGTAGGCCATTTTGGAAAGAAGAATGGCGGCCTCCTGGTCCCAAATTTCACATCCATTATGTACTTTTCCCTGAACACAGAAGTACTGGCTTCAGTAACCTCACTGTTTGTAAACCTGTTTCCTGGAATATTCAGTGGCATAGCATATAGGAATTAAAGTTCCTTGTTATTATTAAATTCAGAAAAAACTGAAGCTTAAACTGCTTCAGTGTTATTTATGTTACTAAAGATTCCAAAAGAAATTTTACTTTATGTTTAGCTGTTATTACTACCCTCATTTTGGATGAAAACTTCTGTGAGCATCAAAAAGCAGACTTGGAAACGGTCAGGACAATGATCAAGTAAGAAGAGAAAGTGAGTTTATGTCTTGTGCAGATCAGACGTCCCTTCCTCACCAAAGAGCATAAACTTCACCTAAACTCTCGCTTCAGTCAGGGTGCAGTTGGAGAAGAAGAAAGGTGTGTCTATATGTGCTTTATTATCAGGAATAGGTTTACAATTATGGAGGCTGGCCGAACTTCCTGAAATCACAGCGCAAACAAAGGGAAGATGATGGGCAGGCTGGGACCCTCCCAGGCATAAGCTGAAGCTTGTTTTCCTCAGAGGGAATTGGAAGGAAGGTAACAGGGTGAAGGAGAACAGTTGTTGATTTATCTGCAGTTCGGAGTCTCCGGGGGCAGGAAAGTTTCACACCCTCTTTTGGTGTCTCACTCAGCATAATCTTCCTTTCCATTAAATTCACCCGATTACGGACTTTAATTCTATCTACAAAATCCCTTCCCAGCACCATCTCTAAAGGTTAGTGTTTGAATGATTAACTGGGAGCAGGTGTGTTTGTGTGAGTGCTGAGATTGTTGTCTGCTTTCCATCCTGACGGGGGGTTATTCTGTTCTTTCTGTCCTACCCTAACTGGAAATAAGCTAAAAAGAATTGTGGAGACTGTAGTTCAGTCTAGCTAAATTGACACACTATGAACTTACTGTATCCCCTCACTATAGATGGGCAGCTAAAGCAGAGAAAGGAATATTTAACAAAAGGGACGTGGTATTTTTAGCATGTCTTTGCCGGCTCAGCTGTTTTCATACTTGTATCTGAAGAAAGGCACATTGATGGGAGTCAGACCTACCCTATTTACTATCCATCATTCAGTGGGAAGCTCCAAAATTCACAGCACATATACAATTGTCGACAGAAAATTTGAAGAATCCCTTTTGTATTGATTCAAACACTTGTGCCAAAGTTATCTGGGGGTGTACTTTCTCAAACACAGTCTTTAAAAAATATTATCGTTCTCAGAACTTCTACTGTGTCATCAATGAACTTACATCAACTGGATAAATAAATAAGGTTTTCCAAGGTGGTCACAATAGTCGTTAATACGGAGTAGGCACTTCTTTCCTCTAAAAACTGATCATAGACAGGTAGCTGATGAACTCTTTCTCAATGGGTCAGGAGTAAGTAGACTTACAGGGAACGTGTGGAGCCTCATAACTACAGGGAGGGTGAACAGAGTATTTCTAGCAATGCTGCAAGTAGACGAGTTGTACCGGACACTAGTTACCTGTACTCTTGTCAAAAACTAATCTGAAGAAGGGAAGGTCATTTCTTGAGCCTCAGACTCTCTTTCAAAGTCCTGTGCAAAGTGTAATTGAAAAAAAAATATACAAAAAGTACATAAAATATAGAAAGAGAAAAGTCCAGATGGGAGAATCCAGATGTGTCTCTAATAGTCTTCCGATAACAGAGTGTTAGTCAAATAACCCAAGTATTCTGAATCACTCCCTCTACTAAAAGTGAGGAGGCTGTTTTCCTAACAATAGTGTCATGTTTTTTATCTCTAGAAGTTCCATCTGGGTCTCTTTTGTAGCTTTCCATTTCTCTTATTTCTCATGTTTTCTTGTACATCCTTGAACATATTTGTAACATTTATATTAGCTGTCCAAAGTTTTTGCATATAACTCTATTATTATTTCTGTCATTTGGGGTATACGTCCACTTACTGATTTTTTTCCCTCCTAGTTATGATCTGTGTTGCTTTGTACATTTGGTAATTGTTCATTGGATGACAGGTAGTGTAAGTTTTATGATGTTAAGTGCTGTTTTTTGTTGCATTCCTTTGAAGAGTATTGAACTTTGCTCTGGGACAAAGTTAAATTACTTGCAGGCCAGTTTGTTTCTTTCCAGCCTTGCTTTTAAGTGTTTTCATAGGCTGGGTGGAGCACAGCCTGTACATTAGGGCTAATTTAGCACCATTTTAAGGTGTGATTCTCTTAAGAATTTTGCTTAATGTCATGCATAATAGTATGAGGGCTCTTCTCCTGAGTGGTGGGAAGGTAAACCATTCCTATCCCAGTGCCAATGCGTAATTGTTTGGCCTACTGCTATTTGGTGTTTTTTTCCCCTGTCCCTGTGGGATTTTACAACATGCATGCACAGAACATTCCTCAACCGAAGACTAAAAATTCCCAGGTCTCTTTTCCTGTGCAACATCTCCCTCTCTGATTTTCTACGCTGCAGACTCTGGTTACTTGGGCCTCCTGAACTCTTATCTCAGTCTCTTCAGTTTGGTGAGAAGATCATGTCCTGCTTTTCTTTTATTTCCTGTGCTGTGGCTCGGAAACTGCTGGCAGGTAGTAAACTAAAGCAATCACAGATGGTGATGTTAGGGTGGGCTTTGGTGGTTCTTAAGCTCAGGGTTATAATCCCAGCCCAGGTGTTCAAGGTCACAGCCATCTATGATTGTGCCACTACGCTCCAGCCTTCCAGCCTGGATGACAGAGTGAGACCTGTCTCTTAAAAGAAAAAAGGAAAAAAAAAATCAGTGTTATAAGTGTTGAGGAAAACTGAATATCCAATATGCCAAAAAATAAAATTGGATGACTCTTATCTTCCTTACCTTGCACCATATGTAAAGATTGAATGAAACATCTAAAAAATAACAGCTAGGGCAGACACGGTGGCTCACACCTATAATCCTAGCACTTTGGGAGGTCAAGGTGGGTGGATTGTTTGAGCTTAGGAGTTTGAGAACAGCCTGAACAAGAGTGAGACCCCATCTCTAAAAAATAAACAAACAAACAAAAAACATACTGGGTTGTGGCTGTAGTCCCAGCTACTGCGGAGGCGGAGGCAAGAGAATCACTTGAGCCCAAGAGTTTGAGGTTACTATGAGCACAGCATTCTACCAAGGGCAACAAAGTGAGACTCTGTCTTAAAAATAAATAAATGAATTAATTAATTAAATGTAAAATATAAAAAATAAAAAATAAACAGCTAAAACTATAAAAATCTTAAAAGAAAACACAGGAGAAAGGCTTTGTAATGTGAGATTTGGCAATGATTTATTGGGTATGACACCAAAACCCAGGCAACCAAAGGGAACAACAAAATTGTGCCCTCATCAAAAATAAAATTTTTTTACATTAGAGGACACCAACAATTTCCTTGCAAAAGCAATTCACACAATCAGTAACATATTGGAAAACCACATATCTCATAAGGGATTGACTGATATCTAGAATACATAAAGAACGCATAATTCAATGGTAACAAAAAAAAAAACCTGACTAAAACATGGACAAAAGACTTCAACAGACATTTTTTCAAAGAAGTTACACAAATGACCAATAAGCACATAAAAAAAATGATCAACATCACTAGTCATTAGGAAAATGCTGATAAAAACCACAATGAAATACCACTTCACACCCATCACGATGCTTATTATCAAAAAACCCCCCAAAAAACCATTGAACAAGTGTTAGCGAGGATGTGGAGACTTTGGAACTTTGTGCATTGCCGGTAAGAACATACAGGGTGCAGCCGTGGTGGAAAATGACACATGATGATTTTCTCAAAAAAATTAAACATGATGATTCCTCAAAAAAATTAACACAGAATTATGAAATGATCCAAAACTTCCACTCATGGGTATATTCCCAAAAAAAGTGACGGCACAGACTTGAACAGATACTTGTACACTAATTGTTAGGAACTGAATGTTTGTGACTTGCCCAAATTTGTATTGTGAAGCCCTAACCCCCAATATGATGGTATATGGGGAGGGACTTTGCGGAGGTAATTAGGTTTGGATTAGACCATGAGCGTAGAATCCTCGTGACGGAATTAGTGTATATAAGAAGAAACAGAAGAACTTGTTCTTCTCTCTCCTGAGCATGTGAGGATAGAGTGAGGAGGCCGCCCTCTGCAAGAGTGCCTTCCCTGGGAGCTGAATGGGCTGGCATCTTGATCTTCCCCTCCACAGTCTCTGAGAAGTACACGCCTGTTGATTATGCCACCCAGTCTATGGGGTTCTGTTCCAGCACTCGGAGCAGACTGAGATGCAACTGCTGACCGCAGTATTATGCCTAACAACCAAAAAGCAGAAGCAATCCAGCATCCATCAACAATGAATGGATTAACACAACGTGATGCATAGTTACAACAAAATATTATCCAGCCTTAAAAAGGAAGGAAATGTTGATGCATGCTATAATATGGACCTGTGTTATTGAAGACATTGTACTAAGTGAAATAAGCAAGTCGTGAAAGGATAAATATTGTATGAGTCCACTTATCTGCGGTTCCTAGAACAGTCAAATTCATGGAGACAGAAAGTAGAGTGGTGGTTGCCAGAGGCTGGGAAGGGGGGGGAAATGGAGAATTAGTATTTAACGGGTTCAGAGTTTCAGCTGGGGAGGATGAAGAAGTTCTGGAGATGGATGATGGTGCTTACTTGCAGGATCAGTGTGAAGGTACTTGAATCCACAGAACTCTACAACCAAATGTGGCGACTAATACAGTCAATTTTATGTTGCATATATTTTATTGCAATAAAAATGTACTTAGGACGATTCTTAGAATATGATGCAGGATTTAAAGTATTAGTTGTTGTTATTGTTGCTGTTTTACAACAAGAAAAATAGGAATTATTTTTATTATTCCTATTTTAAAAATGAATGGATAGCAAGGTAT